TAACAATAATTTTATATAAAGTTCAATTGTTATAATAAGCATTGCATGCAGCAAGCAAGCAAGCAAACAAGCAAGCTAGCAAACGAGCAAGCAAGCAAGCGAGCAAGCAAGCAACCTAGCAAGCAAGCAAGCAAGCAAGCAAGCAAGCAAGCAAGCAAGCAAGCAAGCAGGCAAGCAAGCAAGCAAGCAGGCATGCAGGCATGCAGCATGCAAATTTGACTAAAAACTTGAGACTTCTGTCACGGCTCCGGCACTGCGGGGCTCTGGCGGTCCCTCGCGTGCTAATCGTCGCAGATGGCTTTCGCTCGACACCGCGTCTTCGGCTTGCTGGCCGGCTTCGCCGGCCAGCCTCAGGCGCGGCGCCTCGCTTCCAGCCACCTGCTCCTCAGCCCGCGGGCCGCCTCGCCCCTCCGTGCCTACGCGCTTCTAAATTACACTCTAGGGGTAGGGCAGACAAGACTACGTGGAGTCGGTTTCACGGCGATTCGTTTTTGTCACTAAAGTCATTTATAAGTCAAGCTAAAGAAGAACACTAAAAGTTATATCTATCAGAAATTATATCAATTAAAGAGTATACCAAATAGTCGTTATAACAAATAATATTTATTTTATGTAATGGATATATGAAATATTATTTATATTAAACAAAATTACATCAAATGAGTCTTAGATTAAGTAAGGTTTATACCAAATGTCTTTATACGTTATGATTGGTATCTGAAATGACATTATTAGAAATGATTTATTATATGAAGTAAACATTATATGTTAAAAAATTATATCAAGTGTTATTATAACATACGTTTATTATACAATATGAACGTTATTGAAATGAATTTATATCATATAAACTTATATAAACTGTCACGCACCCATTTTATTTTTCTTTTTATGTACTATTATCAAAACTAAAAATCACTAAATACTAGACCAAATAACTTTGCAATCCCTATGAGCTAGACCTATTTAGTTGTTTAAAGTTCGTATCGTATCATTTAATCCTTTTATAGCCAGTTAATCACTGTTATTTTGCATTTTGTACAGCTACCACTGATATTTTTCTGATAATAATTGATGATGACAATATTATGATAAAACACTGATCTCACCGCAGTCGATATAAGAATATTAGTAAGTAATGTGAAATCATAATTTTATACATACAGGGTGACTTTGCAATTTTTTCTTTTCTTTTTTTAATTTTTTATTATTTTCTGTTTTTAATCGTGGTATTTTTCGCAAAATAAAACTGAAAATCTAATTCGCAGGTGCTCATATCGTAGTTTTTTTTAAGATAGGCTTATTGTCGCGCACCATTTTGTCTATCAAGCTTTGCAGTTATCTGTGTGTACGTATTTTTCTATGAACCAAGCAAATTATCCAAGTGTGTCCATTTATAAACCGCACGATACGGGAAAAATTGTAGGTAAAAATAAATAAAAATGTTTTCTTTACGTACTCTTCGATCAAGTTACTGATTCTGAGTCGACCCTAAAAATTTGGACACTGATTACAAAATCACCCTGTATAAATACCTAATGTATGCGAAGATAAAATATATCAGACTATAACACTTTTGTTACAAATTCGCACCTATTGCAATTACTTAAGATAATAAATAAAATAGCATAGGCATGTAAATGCCTGCTCCAATGGTAATCTTCGAAGAAAACACTTCTACTTATTGTTTTATACAGTGTGAGTCACGTTAAAGTATACATATGAAAATAGATGAAACTAAACCTATTTTTATCGACAAAAAAGAGGTCAAAAATTTTTTGAGATTTTTAAAAAAAAAAATATAGAATTTTTTTTTCTTCCAATTACTTATTATAAAGAAAACGTTATAACTTTTAAACTTTTAACTTTTAAAATCAGGATATACCGCTTAGTTCAAAAGTTATTACCTTTTCTTTACAATAAGTTATTGGAAGAAAAAAAAATCTATAAAAAATTTAAAAAAAATCTCAAAAAAAAATTGACCTCTTTTTTGTCGATAAAAATAGGTCTAGTTTCATTTATTTTCATATGTATCTGTCGATTTGCAAAGGTTTGCAAAATTCATTAGGACAATAACTCACGCAGACTGGGTTACACCATCTTACTTTAACTTTGACAAAAGTCAGAAATCTGTCAAATTCCATACAAAACACACCGGTTGTCGTTATAGTTACGGTCAAAGTTAGGTGGTGCAACCCAGCCTTATTGTTCTATGAATTAATGTCACCGAACACCAATTTTAAGGCAAAAAAGACTATTTGAGACCATTCCCCAATAATTCGAAATCAAAGATTTTTTAATAAGACATGGTTTTAAAAACTTAATTAATTTTAATTTGCCTGTAAATTAAGATTTTTGGTTGCATTGTAATTGAAACAAGTAGATTGAGTTGAAAAAATTGTGACGTCACTTACTTGTATTGCCATACAAAATCTGTGGGAGAGTCTCGTTTTGACAGTTTTAAAAAGCACATCACTAATTGGATGTGTCGACACGTCTATTGTGTCAGTAGACTCCCTATGGGATTGACCGCCATAAAATGGTGTAGATCCTGGCTACACATGAGTTGCAGCGGTGTGAACGAGAGGTGGGAATAGTCCCGTTACCAATGAGATTGCTTGTCTGCCGGATACTATAATTAATGTACTTTCCCCCGGGACAAACTTGACCTTCATTGGTTGGGTTTCTATGGCGGTCAAGCTGTATATCCTGGCTACACAGGAGTTGCAGTTATGGGAACGAGAGGTGGGAATAGTCCCGTTATCTGCCGGATCTTACGATAACCTAAATAAAATTACAATAGAAAAACAAAGCGTGCTAAACAACGCAGTATTATCGGCAGTTCGTAAACACCCAAGGTCGATTCTCTGATGATAAACGAAAGTCAAGTGCTAGAGACTTTGCTATCGTAAAATATTAATATCCTATTGGTTTGGGAAGAATGTGGAGATAGCCCGATAATGCACTCGACAAAACGGAAGCACCATATATGGTAATGGAATATCAAGATACGAATAGTTCCTAGGTGTGACACACGAATCCAAATATGACTTCATTCAATGAGGGACTTTTTGATACTGCACCATCTAGTCCCAAACTAAGCAAAGCTTGTACTATGGGACCAGACAACGGATTTAAAAATACTTAAAAATCATCATCATCATTCAGGCATTAAATCTCCACTGCAAGAGACCCACCCTTTCTAACCAACAAATTAAGGATTTGTCATACACTTCCCAAGCTGGCCAGACTGGTTACTTCAAAAAATATACCGAACTTGTTTTGTAAATCATCATTTCAGCCACATGACGTGACGTGAACATAGGCCTCCCCCAATGATTACCACATCGCAAACATACTATGATGTTATAGTTTTGTAAATAAAAACAAAACTCCCATGGTAGAGCGACGATCTGGTGAAGGACCGGTGCTTGTGTAAATCCCTGCCTTTTTAATGGAAGGCATTATGTTTAAACGATATAGTAAAATATACAGTTAAATATACATGAACTTGTACATGCACACGTGCTTTGGATTGAGTCTTGTCACTGTATGAGTATGATTACAAAACACAATTTAGTAACTTAAAAATTACATAAGTAATTCTGAACTCAACCCAAAACCAGTTACTCAGTTAATTCTTTAATACCAATGTAACCCCCGGTTGCTTCTTTTTAGGGTTCCGTACCTCAAAAGGAAAAACGGAACCCTTATAGGATCACTTTGTTGTCCGTCTGTCCGTCCGTCTGTCAAGACCCTTTATCTCAAGAACGCGTGAACATATCAAGCTGAAATTCACATGAAATACTCAGGTCTATTGTCNAGATATGTACCATCCTAGACTGCATCCCACTTAACATCAGGTGCGATTGTGGTCAAATACCTGCCTTGTCATGCATAAAAAAAAAGTAGAATATGAGCAAGCTCAAGCTAAAATCATTAATTAAGTAGTATTCAAAATAAGTCGACCGACAATAATGTAATTTAGAATTATGTTATCACTTAGCGACGTGTGATGTACCCGTAATATTTGTATGACTAAGCGACGCGTGGTAGCACTAAAGGCTGATTTACACGTATTAAGTAGATAAGTAGGTAACTAAGTTTTCTAGATGACCCACGCTGAACTGTCCCACCAAACTCAAAGACAGGGGGGCGCTACCATCGTTCAACTATATGGTTTCCAACATGGCAAAAATCGGAACCAGCGATCCGGTATTGACGGTGGCGCCCCGCTGTCAATGTCATGGATAGGACAGTTCAGTATTTTGGAACTATAACTTGATTTTTCTGTCAAGTTGACGGGCGGGGCTTGTCACTTGACACGTTTTGACAAGCAGTTTCATAGTAAACAAGAGCTTGGACGCTTGGAATTAAGTTAAGCTCTGTACTTATGTATTTTGTGGTTATGGTGACTGAAATAAGGCAATTCCTTCTATATTATTATCCAGGAACTTCCCACGACCTTTACCAGATCGTCGGTCCACCTAGTGGGGACCTGCCCACGCTACGTCTTTCGGCGCGTGGTCGCCACTCTAGAACTTTTCTGCCCCAGCGGCCATCAGCTCTACGAGCTATGAGTCCCACCCACTGCCACTTAATTTTAGTCAATCTGTGGGGTATGTCGGTCACTTTGGTGTTCGTTCGGTCCAATTAGGTAGGTCCAACTTCGAGAAAGAGGTCAATCGTCGAATCCAACTCGACTGGGCAGTGTTCGGGAAGCTTCGCGACATACTCACGTCCGAAAAACCGCAGTGTCTCAAGACAAAAGTCTTTGACCTGTGTGTTGCCAGTAATGATAATTATAGATACGTGGTCGCTTACTATGGGCCTCATAAGAAGGCTCAAGGTCACCCAAAGGGCAATGGAGCGTGCTATGCTCAGAGATTCCCTGCGTGATCGAGTCAGAAATGAGGAAATCCTTAAGGAAAAAACCTAATATTATTAATTAATCAATTTTGTTCGATTCATAATTAATATTGTGTGTTTGTTTGTTTCAGATAGCACCATGCCGTCCAATAAGGATTATAACAGCAAAAATCACTTCGCTCGTTCTTTCTCTAACAGTTAGTATTTTTAACTTAATTTTTCTTTTGGTATGATACTGAACGCATGCCGCTACCATTCGATCAACATGGAAATCATTGTAGGAGGCCTATGTTCAGCAGTGGACGTCCTATGGCTGAAATGATGATGATGATGATGATTAGATTATAGGTCTAGCCCTTATAAGGCCCTAAGACCAAGGTACATCTTTTGTTCATTATGCAATATTCCTGCACCAAAACAACCGCAAACCATATCGTATGATGCAGTGGGTGTATCATCGATAAAGCTTAGTACTTTGGTATCTTTATTCCAATGTCGTCTGTAACGTCACATTAAGTTGTTGGCTGATTGTAATTGGTTGAAAGAACTGTGTCGTGCGACAAGTATATACATGTACAAGATAAACACTGTGGCATCTTAGGGCTTGTTCCATGGCAATCCAGTAAATGTAGGACTGTAAACTGGACTGTCATGTAAAGGCACGCGTATTTTTAACATTTGCAGTGAGGTATTCTAAGGCTGAGTTGCACCACCTAACTTTGACGATAAGCGATGCTTTTTGTTTGGATTTTGACAGATTTTTGACGTTTGTCAAAGTTAAAGTAAGATGGTGCAACCCAGCCTAAGATTTTCTGAGTCTATGATGGTAAAAGTAAGAAATGAACGAAGATCGTAGAACAATTTTGACTTTTACGATTGAATTTGGTAAATCTTAGGATTTACTGGAAAATTTTTAGATCGACCGGTGCATGGGCTTTTATAGTAACACCTAAACGGATTTATCATTTCAAGTTTAACACTATAGAATGTTATTTATTTATTTAAATACTTTATTGCACACACATAAGAATGTTACGTACAAAAAGGCGAGCTTAATGCCATAAGTCATTCTCTACAAGCTGATCTTGAGCAAAACGAAGAATTTGATGTTATGATGTTTGCTATAGGTGTTTTTTTACAACAAAAATGTAGAGTTACAGTACTGTCAATATTATTGTCGCTTGCTTCGTGTAATTTAAGTTTCACATGTGATTATTATAATCAGAAGTACTTCGGATTGCATAAGATTGGTAATTCATTTATGGGAAAANGCCAAATGAAAATTGCATTGCCAATGCACGGTCCTGCGCCGCTGCCCGCAACTCGTCAGATCGTCGGTCCACCTAGTAGGAGGCCTGCCCACGCTACGTCTTCCAGCCCGTTTTTTGTTCATTATGCAATTTCCCTGCATCAAAACAACCGCAGACCATATCGTATGATGCAGTGGGTGTATCATCGATAAAGCTTAGTACTTTGGTATCTTTATTCCAATGTCGTCTGTAACGTCACATTAAGTTGTTGGCTGATTGTAATTGGTTGAAAGAACTGTGTCGTTCGACAAGTATAGACATGTACAAGATAAACACTGTGGCATCTTAGGGCTTGTTCCCATAGCAATCCAGTAAATGTAGGACTGTAAACTGGACTGTCATGTAAAGACACGCGTATTTTTAACATTTACAGTGAGGTATTCTAAGGCTGAGTTGCACCACCTAACTTTGACCGTAACTTTGACGATAACCGATGCTTTTTGTATGGATTTTGACAGATTTTTGACGTTTGTCAAAGTTAAAGTAAGATGGTGCAACCCAGCCTAAGATTTACTGAGTCTATGATGGTAAAAGTTCGAAAATAACGAAGATCGTAGAACAGTTTTGACTTTTACCATTGATTTTGTCAAATTTTAGGATTTACTGGAAAATCTTTAGATTACGTACAAAAAGGCGAGCTTAATGCCATAAGTCATTATCTACCAGCTGACCTTGAACAAAACAGAGAATTTGATGTTATGATGTTCGATTCCCGGCCGAGCAGAAATTGAAATGATGAATATTAATTTCTGTGACGGGTCTGGGTGTTTTTTATGTATAATATGTATGTATTTACAAAAAAGTATTTCAGTATGTTTATATCCGTTGCCTATATAGTACCCATAGTACAAGCTTTGCTTAGTTTGGGGCTAGCGGCGTGTAGTGTAAAATGTCCAAGGATATTTAATTATTATTTATTTTTACTATAGGTGTTTTTACAACAAAAATGTAGAGTTTTTTTATTTTTTATTTATGTAGAGTTACAGTACTGTCAATATTATTGTCGCTTGCTTCGTGTAATTTAAGTTTCACATGTGATTATTATAATCAGAAGTACTTCGGAGTTTTATCAATGGTGCCACTGAATCGTACGATGTGGTATGTAGTTACATATAGATCTTAAGTTACATTTGTAACTTACTATGTTTGTCGTTTAGTTTATAATAAGACTGTTTCCAAAATTATTTACTCTTGATTGATTTTTGATGAATTCTCATGATATTTATTTTTAAAACTTTGTTGCCCACTACATCACAAAAGGTAGTGATGAACTCTATGCAATAATAGTATTTACTTCTTCTTCTGTTCAACCTTTGGTAATATAAAAGATTACAATATGTAGGATATTTACCCCCTTACTAATAAAACTTACACGCTTGTTGATCAGTGTTTTAAAATGACGTTTAGTATAGAAATGTCATTTTAAAACAGTTATCAACAACTGTGTAACTTTTTATTAGTAAGGGGGTTAATGAAATTGGAAATCAAACAACAAACAAATCACAATCAGAATGCTACTTTGACACTGGATGAACCCAAGTCAAATATTTGCAACAATATTTCTGTTAGATGTTTAAGGGTAGGTAGTCTTTGGCACTTTTTGCGTTTTTGGTTAAATTACCTAATAATGTGCTCACTGTTGATTGAACTTTGGAAGATCTGAGCGCAAAGGGCGTTTGATTGCAGTCTGCTGATGGATACAGTCTGCTACGAAACGTGAAATGCGAGAGATCAAACAATACAATTGCATACTATGTTTTGTTGATCCCCTTGAGTCGATGGACTATTGAGTTAATGAGGGCTATGAATGTGACTATTGGTTGGGATTTGGTTCTTGAGGTTTATAAGGGTCAATCCGTAAATTGTTACATGCCATCTCGTGCTCATGTCGGAGTCTGCTAAATATTGGGCAGTCTCGCATGAGATGGTCAATATCCTGTACCCAACATTAATGAAACAAACTAAGGCGTAACAGCGTATTACAGTAGAATCTCGATTATCCGGACTTCGATTATCCCGATATCCGATTATCCGGACTCAATCTTGATGGCTCTAATTAACGATTTAGGGTCTAGAACCATCAATACGGCATCGCGGCACAGCGCCGCCTGTGATACGGCTCGGCGCTGCCACCGAACACGGTACAGACGTCGTCTTGGTTCATTGTTAATAGAAATTGGTTCACCCAATGGTCTAAATGATGTAAATGAACCATTTTCTAGAAGTAAAAAGTTAATTATTGTCCGATTTTACTTTGAAATCGATTATCCGGATTTTCGATTATCCGGAATACCCCTGGTTTTAATTGATCCGGATATTCGGGATTCTACTGTACACTTGAACATTTCGACGGGTTCATCCAGTGTCTAAGTAGCTTAGATGGAAGAGCAGTCCTCCGACAAGCGAAAGGTCGTGGGTTTCTTGAAATAGATTTGTCTAAACACTATTTTAATGAGCATCTTTGTTCTATTCCAGATGACACCAGCATGTCAGCTAAAGTATACCACCACGCCACAAACCTCATGCCACCGACCCCACCAGTATCCCCTACGGGTCTAGCACCCTCGTTTCCTACGGGCAAGTCTTCCACCAGCACCTGGGGCCGGCAGAACAGCCAAAACGGCGGGAAATACTCATGACAAGATGGCGGATATAAACGCAAGATGGTGGAAAACAAAATGGCCGACGATTGCGTGGTGACGTTGACACGGGTTCCTGCTGAAATTATTTTGAACAAAAAATACTATTTACATTATGCACATGACATTTATTAGGCGACTCAATTTTAAATTAGTGATTGTCGATAAAATGTAATTTACATCAACATTATTCCATTGATAAATTGATAATGTTGGTAGGTAGGTATTTTATCTTTAAAATTCGGTCTTGACTCTAAACTACCTACTCTATTGAACGAAATCCGTTTCGATTTTAAACTATGTAGTCTCTTTTGTATAGATGAGCAGTAGGTATTGTCAATATTTTCAGAAGGGCTGGGAATATTGGCTGGCACTATGCGGGAATGACCCAATCTAGGGTAAAGTTCCCGAAAACAGTCCATCTCTACTTTTTTTCATCATTTTATTTATTGCACCAATAAGATGCAATATTTTAAGTGTAGTAAATAAACTAAACACGTTATCTATAAGTGAAATGGGTTTCATGTACCTATTTTCCATGACATTGTTATTGTGTTTGGACTGCTCAAGGTTCTTGTACTACGCAATTTATTAACCACACTGTTTAGTAAATTAGGCATTCCTCTTTTATCGATTATTAATAATACATGTTTGTCCTTTTTCCAGACCGCATGTCAATGATATTGATAAGATAAAATGTAGTTACACGTCATCGTACCTAATTGCTTGTGAAATTTTTGGAGAATAGATCTTTCTTTCATTTTAAAAATTATAAGTTTGCTCCAGTAGTATTTTCAATTTTATTTGTTTTCTTTCGCATTGATAAACTAATAAAATAATGTATTAAAAGTTTAATAACTTACATGTTGTACATGTTTCGAAAATCCGAATATTTTAGGTAAAATAATATTTGTAAAATTTTCAAAAAAAGTTACCATTTATAAATTTAATTCCTTTTTTTCCTATTTATGTCAATAATTTTATTAATTTTGTACACAGTATTGACTTGGAAAATGCTGGCTGTAATAAAAGTTGAATTAAATTACTAATAATACATTATTGTAATAATAATACATTATATCAAGTGTATTTTAGGTTAATACTCATTTATAGTTTGTAAGTACAATAACTTAGAGTGATTTATAATAATAAAGTAGTTTAATGAATCATTATTTTAAAGTGCAGTCGACAGTACATAAGACGATCGATACCGAAGTATTTAAAAAAAATAGAACCTGTTACATACGTTGTCTAGTACCCATAGTACAAGCTTTGGAAGTTTGGGACTAGCGGCTTCGTGTAAAAATGTCCAATAATATTTATTAATTTAATTACATAAAGTACAGTCAGCGTCAAATAGTACGTGACACCCGAAGTGGCCAAAAAACCTTATTCCAATTTTAACAAAGACGTATTGCAAACTTTTTGGCTAATTTGGGTGACACTAACCATTCACTTGACTGTACTACAGTGTTCAGCCGTATGTAGCACGTTTTTTTCGCAAAAAAATCTAAAAAAAACTGCTCTATCATTTCTGATTTGGGTTAGTAGTAGTTTCGCACGAGCGTGCGAAACGTCCCCTTTCAAAAATAATATTTTCTTAATAGGCGTTCCACCCGGATGTATTGAATAATAGTTCTCTTTCGAGAACTAGTAGTATGATAAAAAAATATTATTATTGAATTTAAAAAGGGGATGTTTCGAATTTCGTGCGAAACTACTACTAACCCTCTGATTTGACTAGACTATAATAATAAGCTAAAATAAAAAAAAAACCTAGTCGATAATAATGCAACAATAATGGTGCCAGATATCGCAGCTTGATGTGTACTTGTGTCGTCATCTGTACCATCTCTTCTCTCATTACAATATTATTAGAATAATAGTATTATAATAATAATTTTAAATGGCATGGTTTTTTTCTCACACTATCATCACTTATGAACTTGAAACTTTTGGAAGTTGAAGGCTGGGATTAGGGATGTTTCCTGGGTAAAAAGCAAGTTTGAATTAGTCCGTCAGTTAACTTATCAAAAAATACTAGAGACGTATTTTTCAATTTTTCAAACTAATAAAAATGAAATATAAAGCGCGCTAAGTTCAAAAGAAGAGACCCTTATGTATAGCACTTGTTGACGTCACGTGGAACTTTGACACACCACACAGCTTCGTAATTACTAGTTTGATTGACGAAATAAAAATATACCTACGTGTCGAATATTTTTTGATAAATACCTAATTGACGGACTAAAAGTTTTTTTGTAGGAAACTAGCCTGAAGGTTGAATACGCAAAACTGAAACTGCACGTAGACGTATCGTATCCGGATCTTCTTATCGCCGTAGTATGGTTCGTTATGACGTAGGCACCGCCGAGGGCTTGGCACTGACGCGAGTATAAGATTATCGTTATCACAATTTATTTATGTCGTGACGTAATTGCCGAAAAAAGGCGCGATCTTAGCCACGAAGGCTTACGAATAGAGCTGATTGGACAAAGCTTTCGTAATCGCTTCGATAAATTTAATTCATTTGGAGCCCAAAATATCGATAGGTGCTCTAAATGGAATAGACCAGGTGCTATTCACGCAGGTGCTATTTGAGCGGGTGCTCAAAGTGGAATACGTCATGTCTTTGTTGTCCATTTTTTTTTGCACCAGACTATATTAGGGAAATGTCATTTAAATGGGTACTGAGTACTGACAGTGTGGTGGATGGAATGAAGTAATGACGGCTATTTGTATGTGGGAAGATTCTTCTTCTTTTTGACCTGTCGACAAACCTACACAGTGTCAGCCCAAAACTCCGCTACAAGAGTGGCGTTGTCAGCAGCTTTCATAATTTTCCTGCGTGCAGTTGTTTGGGCACGCAGGGCACAACATCACGTGCTTCTTCGACTGAGTAACAAAACCGCACTTGCACCCCATGATTGAGCCATCCAAGAATCCTAACCTGATTTATAATGTTATTTAGGAGTATTACTGAAGGAATGACATTGTTACTGGTATAATGCAGGCCTTCGTTATGTAAAATTATTATGAAATCGGCTAGTTATTATGTGAGAAGAAAACCTGCCTGAATATTGTGTAATGTCACGTTTTAGTGACATATATAGTCTTATGTATTTGTTTGTATTATATTTATTTAGAGGAATAAAATCATTGAAGACATTATGTGGTATTTTATTCTTTATTCTAATTCTGGTGTCAAATTTCATACCACCTTAGGTCCGGAACAGACGGTGAAACGCAACTGCAACGAAACTGCAACTGCTAGTTACTTTTGAGTTGCATCTAAGTTTCTGCCATAGCGTCCGTTGAGAGACCACACATGACGCGACCAGTTTGAAACTTTCAGTTTCAGTTTCATTCATCAGAATCATCACAAAGTTGCAGTTGCGTTTAACCGTCTGTTCTGGGGCTTACGTGTTAGATTTTTTAAAATCAGAGTACGGATAGACATACAAATACCCGTATTCACAAACGATGCTTGCTTAAGTGAAGCAGCAAATCGAGCGCACAGCGTTGAATAGAGCTCTGTGATTGGTTCGCGTGTCACCCTGTGCGTCCACGCGCACTGTGAGATCTCATAGTAATGTTTGTGAATACGGGCGATATTTTCTGACACTCAACATTCGTGCGACAGTGCTGCCATCTATTACATCATGTTAAACGTAACATCGTACTATCTATCTATTTGTGTTCGTAAACGGTGTAATTATGATAAAAAAAACTGTGTGGTAGCGTATTATGGAATTTATGGATATAGTGTAGGTAAGTAGGTATACCTACTTGATATCTTTCTTACTTGCATTAGTAGTAGGAAAGGCACAAAGGACCGAAAAACGCAGCGTGGGACGTCCACCCAGAAGGTGGACCGACGACGACCTGATAAAAGTAGCAGGAAGGCGATGGATGCAGGCCGCTGCCAACCGTGCGATGTGGAGGTCATTGGGGGAGGCCTAAGTTCAGTAGTCCGTCCTGTGGCTGAAATGATGATGATGATGATGAAGGCACAAAGCGATAAGAATGGAAGAGCGCTGTAAAATGGTCATATTACATTGGTTATTGAGTTTTATTTAGGAAGTCTGATAATACAGTTCAAATTAAAGAGTTTAATACTATAGCCCAAATATTGAAAGGATGTAAGCAATAAGGAAAGAATAATGATTTATTGATAGCAAAATTTTTGTAGATATTCTGTTGATAGCAAGACGGTTACTTACTTATATTTACATGATTAAGTAGCTTTGATAGCCCCATAGGCTTATTGTTATCTTTCGGAGAGTCATATTATTATCAAAATTGCATTGATTATGTAGAGTAATTTTATGAAAGAATAGCTTTCAGCCCACGGCTTCGCCCGCGTGAAAATAGTGTCACAGATCGGCATAAATTATAGCCTATATGTTATTCTGGGCTATAAACAAACAGATCGGCATAAATTATAGTCTGGGTTACAAAAAATAATACTGTAAAGTTTCAACAAAATCCATTCAGTAGTTTTTGCGTGAAAGAGTAACAAACATCCAGACATCATGACATCCAGACATACAAACTTTCGCATTTATAATATTAAGTAAGATTAGGTACAAAAAGACTAGAAAATTTTGGAAAAAATTCTATTATGATTTGAAGACATTCTAAATACCTAGCTTTTATTAATAGAATAGGCTAGATGACATAATTTCGATTATTTGTCCTTGATTTTTGCACTATAAGTAGTTGTAAAAATCCTAATTTAATTTTGTGATGGAATTTATACATATATACTTTGTCAGCCTACAGCATACCTCATAGATTTGAGGATTGCTATTTTCGTAGATTTCATATTATGTTGTATTCTCGTATGTATGCAGTTCGTTTGTATCGAAAATCTTCTAATTTTTAGTTTTTCTACCTATTAAACGTATTCCTTAATGGCAGGCAGTGACATCTTGTGTGCAGTTATGACAATAATTATTGATTTGGGATTGTAGTTCCTCCAAAACCCACTAGGTGTCACTGCTCGTAGTATGGCGCCATCTACTTGAAATGTGACGAACTAAAATGATCCGTGCTATTGACTATGCTATAGATCATTGATTTTTTATTCAAATTCTATAAATACAACGATAGATGGCGCTTTCGAAATATTTTTATATAATTACTTAATTATTTCAAGGGATTTAAGACAATTATTTTATTAATTACCGAAATGTAATCAAAATTTTAAAGAAAATGATAAATTAATGGCAAACACTTTATGGATTAAGGATTCAAAATGGAGCTGACATATTATGTTGATAAAAGCCCCAAATCAAATTAAAAAAAAATGGATTCGTGCGGTTTGCATATAATTGTCATATTATTTAATTATACGAGGTATTTACTGAGATCAATTTTATAAGTCTATTCAAGTAATGAATTAATGAAAGATGACGATATCTGTAAAAATGTGACTACCTACTGATACTTTTTGGAAATGTTGGTTTTGAAAATGAGTAGGTACCTACATAGTTTAAATAAGTTGTTTACTAGCTTATCAGTTGATATGAAAGATTTTTCACTTAAAGCTCTAACAAAATTGTAAGGAAACAAAGATCATCTCCACACTCCATCATTAATTTTTAAAATTTCAAACTCATCTCGTACTTTTTCCCTAATTTATAACTGGCGATAAAGGAATTATTCAGCCGGGTCGTAGGTTCGGTTCCCGTTATCTTTCAATGCGATGAGCTTCCTTTTTTATTAATTAGAAGTAGGAAATTAAGAGGGAAAAAATGGCCGACTCTTTTGACATTGGCTTTCCAATTTGCAGTTTCGTGGTGATTTTTGTCAGTGGCTTGTTTAGAACATTTGTTTGAACGATAATGTTTTTGGTTGTAAAGTCGATGAGTATCATTAAACAATACTATTTTTGACCTACTTCTTCTAAG